AGAACCCATCCTACTCTCATCTGTGTGTCTTTGGTTGTCTATGTTTTCCTCTCTTTCCCTCAAGTACCATATACAAACTTCAACCACGCTCCATACCATGCATCTTTCTTGGGTATCCATCCAACCATCGTGGTTATAAGTGTCTAGATATGACCACACAAAAAAGTATCATTTGTCGTCATGTATTATTTGATGACTCTACCTTCCCATATGCAAAGCTGCACACCCCTCAATCTACCACTTACACCTTCCTAGACAATGACTTACCCCTTACCTCATCAACTATATTATAACCCAAGACCAAAACAACTCTACATCTAATCCACCGATCTCCTCTCCCACTCAAACTACTTCCCATACTTCGCCCCACACCCAAACCTTGCCGAATACACCCCAATCAAATCCAACCTCAACCTTACACCTATCACCTCTCCCAACACAATCAAATCATACTCTACCACATAATCTTCCTCCCATTTACCAACCTACCTCCCAAGCCAACACAAAACCCACCTAGAAGTCAACACGACATCTTTAAGCCAAACCAAAAATATTACGGTCTCCACACTCATGTCACAAAATCCCCTCTCCCTAGAAATCCAGTGTCTGCACTCAAGGACCCTAATTGGAAAATGGCCATGCATGATGAATATAATGCTTTAATTAAAAATGAGACGTGGGATTTAGTGCCACGACCACCTGATGTTAATGTTATTCGATCTATGTGGATTTTTAGACACAAAGAAAAATCTGACGGTTCATTTGAGAGGCATAAAGCCCGACTTGTAGGTGATGGTGCAGGTCAACAGGTTGGCATTGATTGTGGAGAAACCTTCAGCCCCGTTGTCAAACCAACTATCATTCGCATTGTTCTCAGCCTTGCCATTTCAAAATCTTGGAATATTCATCAGTTGGATGTCAAGAATGCATTTCTCCATGGTGAACTCAAAGAAACAGTACATATGTACCAACCATTAGGATTCCGAGACTCCAAACATCCTGATCATGTATGTCGTCTTCGCAAATCTCTATATGGGCTTAAACAAGCCCCTAGAGCTTGGTACCAGAGATTCGCCGACTATGCTTCATCGATTGGTTTCTATCAAAGCAAAAGCGATCCATCTTTATTCATCTACAAGAAAGACTCCCATCTAACATATCTCTTACTTTATGTAGATGACATCAGCCTCACCACATCATTTGATACTTTGCGGCAGTCCATCATATCTCTCCTCAGCTCCGAGTTTGCTATGAAAGACTTAGGACATCTCAACTACTTCTTGGGTATTGCTGTCACTCGCCATAAGCATGGCTTATTCCTCTCACAAAAGAAATATGCTGAAAACATCCTCTCACGGGCAGGAATGTCAAAACTTGTCCAACTCCAGTTGATACAAAACCAAAAATGAGTGCCACACATAATGTCTCATACGAGGATCCATCCCTCTATCGTAGTCTTGCAGGTGCCCTTCAGTATCTTACCTTCACACGACCTAATATCTCCTATGCAGTACAACAAATTTGTCTTTTTATGCATAAGCCGATGGACACCCATATGCATGCTCTACGCCGGATATTACGCTACATTCAGGGCACAAAACACTACGTCTTACATCTATATCCCTCATCTACAACTTCATTAATATCCTATACAAATGCAGATTGGGGTGGCTGTCCTGACACTCGACGTTTCACTTTTGGCTACTGCGTGTTCCTTGGGGACAATTTACTTTCATGGTCATCTAAACAACAACCTACACTCTCACGTTTCAGCGCCGAGGCAGAATACCGTGGTGTAGCCAACGTGGTATCTGAATCATGTTGGTTACGAAACCTTATGCTTGAACTACATTGTCCTATTCATAAGGTAACCATAATATATTGTGACAACGTCAGTGCCATCTACCTCTCAGGTAACCCGGTTCAACATCAACGAACGAAACACATTGAGATGGACATTCATTTCGTTCGTGAAAAGGTCGCTCGGGGTCAAGTCTGGGTTCTCCATGTACCCTCCAAACATCAAATTGCAGACATCTTCACCAAAGGACTTCCCCTTATACTCTTTCAAGACTTTAGAGAAAGTCTCGGCGTCCGTCCACCTCCCGCTTCAACTACGGGGGAGTATTAGAATATATCTATAATTAGTATAATCATAATTGTATGTTATTAGGATATATTCTAATTAGTATAATAATAACTGTATATTATTAGCTTCCAAATATAGAGATATTCACACTTGTATATTAGGACAAAGAATATCAATGAGAAGCAGGGAATTCAATTCTTACAGAAAATATGTGATACATTGGAAGTCATTCATGAAGGAATATTAGAGGTAAAAATATCTAAACGAAACACAATTATTTATTGATTCAAAATACTTCAATTTTGATCATATATAATATTTATAGTTTATTTCAAACTAAGACAAAATATGAAAGAGTTAGAACAAATGAGTAATTGTAATTTGATCTGATAATTTTGAATATTAATTCACATTCTTTTGATGATGTTTTAAATTTAAAAAATTGTGCCTTTCATAAAAAAGTTGTGTATTCATCCATCATAATTGTCTTATTTTTTTTATTAAAACATATATTTATAGTATTTTTTTAGTATAAATACTACCATTTTATCATAAAAGATGCACATCTTTAAACTAAATAAATATAATTTCAATTTGCAATTTCTAATACTAAATTAAAATATATCATAAATATGTATATTAATTATACTTAATTGACTTCTAATACTCATAATTGAATCTATTCATATCATTATTATGTCATTAACATTCTATATGCGATGTATGTACATTTTAGAAATATTATATTAAGTGTCAATTTTTATAAAAAAAAATTGAGTGAGGTATAATATTTTTATTAATAAGTATATGAATTCAATAATTTAAAAAATTATAAATTTTTTTTTAACAAAACTGTATGTCATTTCGTATTGGTGGAGTAATTAAAAAAATTGATTATAAAAAGTAAAAACTTTTAATAACTCATATTGAGATTAGAACAAATGAGTAATTGAACTTTGAGCACATAATTTTGAACATTTATTCACATTATTTTGGTGATGTTTTAAATTGAAAAGGAATGATAATTTTGTGTTTTTCAAAGAAATTTGTTATTCACCAATTATGTCTCATATTTTCTTAACTAAAACATATATTTGTAGCATTTTTTAGTATAAATGCTAACATTTTAGGATTTAAAAAATACTAACATTTTTATAAACTAAAATTTTGATATCATTTACTTATCACATAAGACAACAGTTAAAATTAAAAAAAAAAGTTTTTAAATGAGATTTTTTTGTTATTTATAAAATCTTAAATCATACTTAATTAATTGAATCATTTTTTATAAAAGAAAAATGATTTTTATTAGAAGGAGTTAAGTCAATTTAATTTTTGTATTAACTAGGCAGTTCCAAACTCTTTATAGATGACATAATTTAATAAACTTTAAAACTAATAAATTTTGAAAATAAGGTCAATAAATAAGTTATGCCAGCAAACATTTTGGCATTTTTAAAAATTAAAGTTATGTCTACAAGACAACCAAATATTTTATATTATATTTTAATTTGATATTAGGAATATAAAAATTAAAAGTTGCACGTATTAATACATAAATGATATTTTTGAGAATTTATTGAACTTTTATATTTTATATATACATTTTTTAATCATAATTATATTATATTTATTTAATATTTATAACTATATTTCGACCCTAACTTTTATTGACACTCTGTATCTCATTTTACAAATTAAACAAATCAAATTTATGTGATTTTTTAAATATTACAAAATAAAAAATTATCTTACACTCACAAAACCAACTTTTTAGTAATAAATTATTTTCTAAAACAAATTTCAAATTATTCTAGCAGGTTTCAAAAATTAGTTAAACTTATCATAAATGAACATTATTTTTTCTATGCTATTTTTCATATCTGCTACTAGTATTTAATAAAATAAAAAATATTTATTTTAACAATCAAACTTTATTAAATTCTCATCTTTTATTTTTAAATTATTCATTTCAACCTTCAAACTTTATCAAATCTCACCATACTAATCTATTTTTTTTCTAAAACTGATCCTAAAGACGAGAATTTTTTACTTTGAAAATTTAAGATACAACAAATCTCAAGGGTCATATGTCAGATATAATGAGTTCAAGGATTGAGTTGGAAAAAGTGCGGGTTGGAATGAAGAATGTTAGGTAAAAAAATAATTGAATCAGATTGTTTTCAGAAATCAGAGTAATGACGATGAGAACCAAAAATTGTTGTAATACATGTAAGAAATGATGTTTGTGAAAAAAAATTGCAATGACATTGAGAGATGAAAGAGACGAACCTGTGTGGTTTGATAGATGAGAGAGATGAGATTTACCTAGAACTGTGTTGGTATGAACATTTTCTAAAAAGAGAAAGTTGAAATGAAAACATGTGATAGAATAGTAACAAATTGATTTGACAGAATTAGTATTAAACTTAGAAAAACATAGTTAAATTGAAAAGTGAAGAATGAAGAAGGTGCATACTGTTTAAAAATTGAAAAGTTGTCCATTTCAAACTATAGAGTAATAAAAAGTTAGTCTTAATTTAATCTTGATAGTTAGTAATAAAAATCTATTGTTTCTGATTATCAAATCAAAATCTAACTGTTAATAGAGCAATACAACAATTATTATGATCCCAAGTAGGTAATGTAAACTATCATAACCACTAACTTATTAACATTTTCCTATAAGTTGAAAACTATGTTGTGCTCTTTAGCTTTCTAACATAAACTATCTGTGGTTACAAAGTACAACAGTTGCATTCCCTAGCTTTACAAACCTACCTTGGTCTTCCATCTAAGTTTGCACAAACTAACTGTAGAAGTGTTATTACACTAAAAACAAAATATGAAAGCAAAATAAAACTTCACATGAGAAAAAAAACACAAACCAATCCAACAAATTGGTAGTGGTTTATGTAGTTTGACACGATACATCATCATTTGTCTGCTTCTTAGCATCAGTAACTCCTACCGCAACGATACTATTCACATCATAGGTTGACATTGCCTTCTTCTGATCAGCAAATCAGTAAAAATAAACGAGTCAAATCTCATGTTTTAGTGTGTCGTTTCCGAAATAGTAAAATCGATTTGAGTTTCAACAATTATCGACGAGTGTGTTGCTAACGTTACTCATACGATTAATCATAATAACTGATATTGAAACTTACAATGGGATCAAAATTTGGACTAGACAGGTTGACAGTGAGGTTTCTCATTAACAACAAAACCTGCACAAGAAAGATAGCTATTAACTCAGTAGTCATTTTTTTGACTCATTTTGCTTTTTGTTCTGTCTCATAGGGTCGATTTTTTATCAAATGAATAGATACACATTTGATTATATAGCTAAGTTTCATATCTCTAGTTACTTCTGTCAGAATATGTTATAAGTTATCATATTATATGATACTAAGTTTCATTCATGTAAGAACTCACAGTTTCAAAATTTATAGGATCCATTTCTTTCAGCTTCTGCACGTGGCCGTTTGTATCCGGATCAAAAACACTTCCAATGAAACCATAAACTTCAGCAAAGTCCGGCAAACCTGTGAAATATCAAAATGACAGATAATACATCATTAACTGTAAGTTCAATCTCAATAAATCCAGAACAAAAACCAACATATCACAAGATCATTTTCAGCCTCAAGGTTTTCGATATACTCAATATTGTATATTATTTATCCATCACATACAATATATTACACATTATATGAGTAATATGCACACAACTTAAAAATTTCTGGATCTGTCGCAGAAGATTACCATGAACCGCAGGATTTTGTTTCCCTTGCATCGGTATCTGAGAAGCGGGGAGCCTTGTATTCGAGTCCTCAACACCACTAAGACCACTGTTGCTTATCCCCTTTGATCCGATAATATCAGCTGAATCAATAATAACATCGAATAACATAATTAGCGGCAAGTTCCTTTGAGTATTGACAGCAAAATTCAAATGAATTAACAAAAATAAAACCAATGTTATGCATGCCTTCATTTCCATGAAGATTGTTGAGTTCATCCTGACAAGTATTCATCAACATGGAAGTTTCATCCCATGTGACATACCCTGCAGGTAAAAGGTTATTTGAGGAACATCCATAAGCAATGGATGCTGGTAGTGGCACCAAAACTAGTAAGTAACACAAAAAAAAACAGCAACTGTTAGAGATACATGAAATCTTGTGTTTTAACTTTTAAGGTTCAAAAATATCATAAATGTTATTTCAACACAGGAAATGAATATAACAAGAATGCTCATTAGTACTCTGAGACGGAGCACGCTCTCAGGTCCCAAGCCTCCACCAACCGGCCTACTCCGGAGGTTAATTATCCTATCCGAATTCAATTTGAAAACTAGCTCCAAAAATATGAGAATCTAACCATTTTTGGTAGCCTTTTGTGGGTATGGATGAATAGCTTTACGCTTAGGACGAGGAGGAGGAACATGAGCTAGCGTTCCATTTTTCTGAACTTTCAAGAAGTACTTTTGAGCATGGCTTCGAATCTGAAATAAATTACTATAGTATTAGTAAGTGAATAGAATAACAATTAAAGACACATACGAAGATAGGTTAAATAATGAGTTACCTGAATAACAGTTTTAGAACCTACAAAATCTTCAATTTTCTTCCAATCCCTATCAAAACTATAAAAAAAATATATACGATATGAGTAATTGAATATTATGAAAATGAAAAGCAAGAGAGATAAGAGGTAGAGTTAGAGAGAGAGACAAACAGTTGAAGAGCTTCTATGAACTTATCGTGTTCTTCATCAGACCAGCTTTCTCTAGATTTAGTAATGGTGTAAGGTTTTCTAACCTTCTTGCCAGCAGAAACATCGTTACTAGTTGGTGTTGGCGGTGTTGATGACATTGAGTGAGAATTGGAGTTCATGGTTAGTGATTGTGTGGTAGAGAAAAAGAGAAAGAGAAGAGTTGAAGAGTTGGGTGTGGAACATGTGCGATGGAGGTTCCAAGTTGGATTCATTGATACATCGGTCCCATCAGAATCACTTCATTCGGGAGCTAACAGTGCCCACAGACGGAATAATATTGTCCTCTCGTTTCATACACCACACAAACGTTTCCCGCTTGATTCTAACCACTCAAATTACAAATTAAATTTAATAAATAATAAAAAAAAATAATTATACTAATATTAAAGGTAAATTAAATGTGCAAGATAAGTCTCATAAGCAAACTCGATTTATATTGTCTCCACCAAATTGTTTATCCAAGAAATAAAAGAATAATACACAATTACTTTTGTTAACTTTTAAAACAACATTTTATACTAATATCATTTTTTTTTATTTCTAACCTTTAGGTGTGGTAAATTATTAACGATTAATAATTTTGAGTTTTTTTTTAAATGATAAAAAAAATATTGAAGTGAAGATTAATTTTTAAATTTACAAATAAGCAACACTTGTAAAGTGTCGCAGTAGGTTTGAATTCAAAAATAGACAACACTTGTGAAATTTTGCAGTAAGTTTGAATTTAGAAATAGACAACACTTAAGTGTTGTAGAATGTGAAATAGTGCAATCTTTAAAAATTGTTGTTGTAGGCGAAACAAGGCAACATTTGGTAAAAGTGTTGTTGTATGTGAAATAATGCAACGTTTGAAAAGTGATCTTGTAGACGAAACAGTGCAACGTTTAAAAAGTGATCTTGTAGACGAAACAACATCTTGGAAAAGTGTTGCTGAAAGTGTGTGTTTTATCAAGGGTCGCAATCTTATGAAACAACACTATTTTGACCTATAAATTAAGCATTGTAGATCATATTCCCTACATTTGAGTTTTCATCAATCTTGTGGAAACTCGAATATATGTTGAATTATCCTGAGTATTCTTACGTAGAAACTCTAAGACAATTCGAGAGTGCTTGAAATACTATAAGGAAAGTGACACCATTCACAATTCTAGACTCGTTCTATTCGATTTAAATTAATTTTCTAACAATCTTATAGTATCTCAAATAATGGTGCAAAATTACTTTCCATGTAACTTCACTACTCTGACATTGAGGAATATTCTCTACGAATTATTGAAACACAAACCGAAAGTTTTTCATGTATTGTTGAAACACAACCTGAAGTTAGGATAAGCAAGAGAGTTCAGAAGGTTAAGGATCAATAACTTCAAGGGACTCCTCTTGTTTGAAAGAAAGTATCACTGTGTGATGGTACACAAAATACCTACAAGTCTAGATTAATGAGCAATGGTGTTTTAAACAAATGAAAACACAATTGTGAGGAACACATGTTATATCAACTAGTTCAATTTTAATGAAGACAAAATTATCAAAGAAGAAAATGTTCAAAAGTGTCATGCAAATCAATGATGAAGTTGATCAAGAAGGTTTAACATATAAATTCAAGTGAAGATTTGAGACCAGTGAACATAAATAAGATGCTCATTGTAATTTATATTATACTACTTTAAATTGCTCATAATTTCATCTCTCACTTCATCTAAAACCTTCTTGTATCATCATGCATGATTATCTAAAAACCTCCTTCATCTGATTCTTGTTACAAGTGTTTGTACATAAAGTTGTGTGAGAATATTGTGATATTCATTTGTCTCCATGTTGATTATATAATTGATCATTATTAACCAGATGAATGAAATTTTAGAAACAAAGAGGTTTCTAACTTTCACATTCAAGATGAATGATCTTGGACTAGTTGACACACTTTAGGAATCAAAGTAAAGTGAAATAGTAGAGATTATGAACTTAATCAAACACATTATGTTTAGAAAGTGCTTGATAAGTTCAAACACTTACGTTTTAAGGAAGTGAGCACTCCATTTAGTTCTAGTGTCAAACTTCAAAAGAATGATGGAAGAGTTGTGGCTCAGTTGGAATATGCAAGTGCATGCAATGTACTAGACTCGACATAACATTTGCAATTAGTAAACTGAGTAGATTTTACTAAGAAATCCAAATTGTGAGCACTAGAAGACCATGATTGTGAATTTCGGCTATCTTATGAAACCAAAAATCTTGGTCTCCATTATGGTAGATTTCCTGCCATATTAGAAAGATATACCAATGCCAGTTGGATATCGAGTGACAAAATATCATACATCTGCATTTCAGTGGATATTTACACTAGTTGGGGGTGACATTTCTTGGAAGAGAAAGAAACAAATATGGATCACTCTCTCAACCATAGAATCGGAGATTGAGGCTATTGCTTCAGTTGGTGAAGAAGTTGAATGGTTGGGGGACCTTCTGTTGAAAGTTCCATTGATTAAAGACAGTGTTTTAAAGGTGCTGATACATTGCGGTAGTCACCCCACAAATAATAAAGCAAAATAACACAGATATCAGAGTAATTATTAAATTTCACAAAAAGCCACCAAAAGGGGGTACATTTCCCAATGTCATCAAAATAGGTCACGGCTCCGTAAACAACGAGTTTTCTCAAAATACATCAAACAACATAAAACAGCGGAATTCAAAGGCATGCGTCAAGGTTTTCCTCATCAGGGAAAATAAGGAAAATAACTCAACAGTGTATAGTTTAACTCAAAGAACCCAACCCGATATTACATATCAGAGCAAGACCCTCAAAGTTAACAAAAAGGGATAACGCCTTAAAACTTCAAAAATAACTCATCGACAGCGTCCACAGCTAAACTCGATCATCTGTACGTTACCCACGTGGAGGTAACATTCAAACAGACAGGGTGAGTAAACAATTCATAATAATCAATGTATAAAAATCAACATATAAAACGGCGTCATATTCATATTCAACACATTCATATCCTTCAATAGGCCTCGAAGGCCACAACATCATAATTCATACAAAAGAATCATAAATGCAAATGCAACATAGACTCAATGCATGTGGTACCAATCATCACATCGCGATGGACACTGGGCCATCAACCCTCCATAGATCCCCATCAATAGGATTGATTATACTAGAGAACCAGAGCACATCAAAATACTTCACATCCACACAATGGGATTGAAGCCAAAGTAATCGAGGTCTTGAACCGAAGTCCGGATGCACATGAATGTATGATGCACACGTCACAAATCATCCTCATAATAACAACATAGGTGCATCATCATTCATCATATTCATCATCACAATCATCATCATATCTCATGTCATCATATAATTCATCAAAATCAATGGTAATATCATCATATTACATCATGGAAATCATCACGTCATCATGTACACATCACATAAAACTCATTGTTATACTTGGGTTAATTCATCACAAAAATCACAGAATCAAACATCAAGGCATCGTTGCACACAATCAACATTCGTGAAACTCTGCTACGTTCGCTGGCATGTTCGCTAGGCGAGTCTGGGGCGAGTTTCTTTGCTAGGCGAGTCTGGGAACAACATTGTTCGCTAGGCGAACAGTGCAATGACAGCAAATTCTGCTACGCACCATAACTCAAAATCACTCAAATAACTCTACGATTCACTTACCCAATGCCCCCAAAACATCCCTAAATCATCTCTAAGGTCCTACGACGATAAAGGCACAAAACCTACGGTTTATTAGGCCAATCCCGTAACATATTCATGTCCTAGATCACAATTTTTCCTTCAATTACACCCTAAGGCATTAGAGTTACTCACTATCCAATATTCTATCCCTACAGGGTCAGATATATAACAATTCAAGGTTTTTGGCCACGAAGGCCGAAGGTCACTATTTCTCATATCCATGCTTTAACAGTCAGGAAGAGTTACCACTAACCACAACCATCAGGGTCCTCACCATCAATTTCCCCTTTTCCCACAATCGACCCACAATCCCTTAAACCTAAAATCATCCATAATTATATTGAAAGACACACATGGAAAATCATGAAAAGCTATATTCCCCATACCTTAATCGATTCAAAGCCTTCACGATTATATCCGGGAATCTTCTGCCTCCAATTTTCTCCTCAGAGCTCTCTGGCCACAATACTTTTCACAGTTAACAAATGAATCCTAATTCCCTTCAGAATTATATTTTGTCAAACCTAGTCTTGGGCCTCACAATTTGGATTTTTCCCTTATTACCTTTACTAACTCCCCCAAATGCTCAAATTACCCTTATTTCACTTATATTCATTTTAAATATTAATAATACTAATAAATTAATATTATATACTATTAATCAAATAAATAACCCAAAAATACACTTTTTTCCAATAATCCACAAACTGCCAAAAATCACCGAATAATAAATATTCTCAATTAAATTAATTAATTAAAATATTCCAATTAAATTTGGGGTGTTACAACTCTCTCCCACTTAAAAGAATTTTTATCCTCGAAAATTACCTCAAGAAAACATAGTAGGATACGACTCCCTCATCTGATCTTCACGCTCCCAAGTTCAACTTTCTCCAGCTGGTCCTCCCCAAACTACCTTCACCAAGGCAATCTCTTTACCTCGCAACTGCTTCACTTCTCGTTCATCAATCCGAACAGGCAACGCCTCAACAGTCAAATCATCTCGCACTTGTACATCATCCATCTGAATCATATATGATGGATCTGGAATGTACTTCCTCAGCTGCGACACATGAAACACATCATGCAAATTCGCAAGCGACAGCGGTAAAGCAATCTGATACGCTACTTCCCTTACCCTCTGCGAAATCTGATACGGACCAACAAAATGCGATGTGAGCTATCGAGACTTCAAAGGTCGGTCAACATCAGTTACCAGTGTAACTCTAAAAAACATATGATCTCGCTATTGGAATTCAAGTGCTTTCCTCCTCTTATCATGGTAACTCTTCTGACGACTCTGCGACGCTTTCATATTTTCTTGGATCATCTTGATATTTTCAGTTGTCTCTTGCATAATCTCAGGTCTAAGTACAACACTCTCGCCTGAATCATACCAAC